TTCATCACAGTAGCGACTGAAGCGCTTGAGGTACTATGCAGGAAATCTGTACCGTCAAGAGAGAATAAGTCTGTAGCAAGTTTTGTCCAGGGGGTTGGTAGAATATCATGTGGTTCCAGTGGTTCCCTATGTTGCTGAACCTGGTTTTTTTGGCATGTATGGCATGTCTTAACAACGTCCTCGATGTTTTTATTGATGCCTGGCCAGTATACCGTATCCCTGGCTAGTCTGCGGGTTCGCTTTATGCCCATATGACTGGTGTGTAGCTGGTCCAAGATGTCTGACTGAAGTGATGGGGGTATTACCACTTGTCTTCTTTTGAAGATGATCTCGTTTGCAATTCCCAGTTCATCTCTGTACGACCAGTACACTCTCAGATTGCTTGGAACTTGCTTCATTACGTCTGGCCAACCCTCGTAAATGATGCTACTTAACAGCTTCAGAGTCGGGTCACTTGCTGTTTCTCTCTGCAGCTGTGTCTGTTTGGTAGGCGTGAAGCTTGCAGATCAGGATCATATCTGTCATCCACTTCCATGACTTCATCGACGTGAAATTCAATAGAAACATCGCCTTTCTTTTTGGGGTTTGGTAACCTGCTTAGAGTGTCTGGGAGTGTCATCCCACTTCTAGGTTTGTACAGTACATTGCAGTCATATCCTTGAATCTTGACAAAGAGTCTCTGTAGCCTTGACGGTGCACTCCTAAGTAGTTTTCTACAAATCATCTCGAGTGGTTTGTAGTCGGTGTGGACAGTAAACTTGTTACCGAACAGGTAGATATGGAAACGTGTAATTCCAAATACAAGTGCTAGTGTCTCACGCTCAATGTTTGAGTAGTTGGATTGCGCATTTGATAAGCTTTTTAAAGCAAAAGCTTTCCAGCATGTCTACTCGCGTTCCTCGTCTATCTCCCCATCGTATGCTTTCTTTCATGACCGCTTTACCTCGTAACACACACGCGCAGTAATGTAGTCCCTATCACTACAATGGCCTAATGGACAGAGTGAAAAACTTTTTTGTTTCAGCGCTGACCTACCATTTTTATCACTTTATTGAAAGGACCATGAAATGTGCTTTCCACTGACGTGCGAAGAGTAAGTGTCTGATAACCTTTTGCCCCCCAAGAGGAGGGTTAAACATGGATTCTTGAACTGCCTCAATGAACTGCCTCAATGATGTCACAGTGTTCTCATATTCATGGCACATCCATAATCCAGAGAGATGGCTGTAGCGCGACCGCCTGTAATTGGTTGTCTCTACTGAATGGCTGGTCACATGGTCACAACTACACAGGTGGGCATGTACCCAAAATAGAACAATAGAATAATTGTGGTTCTACCCCTTTTCCCTTGCTAATTGCTTATATTACTGCGTACTTCTGTGGTATTACACTTTGCCTGCTTCTGTCCATACACTCGTTTACTCGTTCTGTTTTACTCGTAGTTTAAAAATTTAGATTTTATCAATGCGAAATTTACGTACCTGTAGTTGGTAAATTGTAATCATGTTGAGTAGCAGATAGTTAATAAGATTTTAAGCATAATTTATATATTGTACTATATGTTGGGGGTCTTTATATTATATCATTGGTGGGGCTATCACTGGGGAACAATATATTTGATACTTAGTGAAATTTTGTGGTTTTTATAAAATGTATGCAGGCGAGTAAATTGTGATTGTATTGCAGCCGTGTAACCTACTGAATAGATTACATTTGTTTTAAAATAGAAATAAATGTATTGTGACTCTTGATCGTGGAGTTTGCTTGAGTGACTTGTTCGGTTTATTTATTTTATATTTTTATTGCAACACACTACCTGCCTGCCTTCCATCTTTACAACATGGACAACGAATAATAATCCTACGTTTCCTCGAGTATTGTACGTTCCATTAAGTCATTTTACACTGCATAGTGGTAGGGATTCCATAATGACGTGTACCGTAATGACTTCAAAAATTAATCGAATTGTAGTATAGTAGTAGAATAATAGTAGTCATCCTAGGCCATTCGTAGTTACAAACACAAAACTTGTAAATATGTTGTTCTTAATAGGCTTCTAAATGAACCCGTCATGGCCCTTACCCTTCTTCCTTTCAATGGCCACAACTTTCCCTCTTCCCATGCATGTACCGAACATCGCCTGCAGCATGTGACCGTGATGTCTCTACATTGCAGGGCATGACGTACTACATTGCACGTCCCCTCACCGTGATGTCTCTACATTGCAGGGTGTGACGTACTACATTGCACGTCCCCTCGCTATGATGTCCCTACATTGCGGGGCGTGACGTACTACATTGCACGTCCCCTCGCCGTGATGTCTCTACATTGCAGGGCGTGACGTACTGCATTGCACGTCCCCGCACCGTGATGTCTCTACATTGCAGGGTGTGACGTACTATAGTACACCTCCCCTCGCCCGCCGCTTCTTACCGTGATGTCTCTACCTTGCAGGGTGTGACGTACTACACTACTGTACACCTCCCCTCACCTGCCGCTCCTCACCGTGATTGTAGCATTGAAATACGGGTGAAATAGGGTTGAAATACGCCGTATTACATGTTACTACTACTACTACTACTACTACTGTGCTATAACAACACGGCATACGATCGCAGCAGCACACGTACTGTCGTCGATGCAGAACCACACACACCGTGGACACACGCTTTCTGAAACCTAACCAACAGCGACGACGACGACGACGACGACGACGACGAGGATGACAAGCCGCCGGATGTTGCTCGCCGTCGCCACGGCGATCCTCGCCTGCGCGTGCGTCGCCGCGGCAACAAGCGTCTGCGATAGCGCCACCTACAGCGACTGCCCGCCGTCCGTCTTCCCGTGCTCGTGCTCGCTGGGAGAGGGCGACTACGCCGCGTGTCCGTACGTGCGCTGCGTCGGAAACTCGGACACGTCGCTCGCGGACGCTCTCTTGTTGATCGACCGGCCCGTCTATTCGCTCGTCGTCGACGGCTTCACCTCCGCGCGGTTCCGCGACGCGACCTTCGCGAACGTCAGCGCCGAACAGCTGTTCGTCGAGAATAGCACGGCACTTAGCGAACTCACGGCGGCTGCGTTCGCCGGCGCGGGCCGCGTCGAGGACCTCTGGCTTCGCTTCAACACGGCGCTGACGACGGTCGACGCGTCGGCGCTCACGCAGCTGCGCCGCTTCATCCTGTACGACGCCGCCGTCGCCGCGCTGCCGCCCGGGTCCCTCCCCTCCGACCTCCGCCACCTCAAGGTCGAGCACTGTCGGAACTTCCGAGTCGTGGCGGCGGGGGCGGCGTCATCGCTGCGCGCGCTCGAGGCCGTCACGATGCGCTGGAACAACGTGAGCATCGTCGACGCCGACGCGTTCACCAAGGACAACGCCGCGCTGAGAACCATCGACCTGTCGGAGAACGCCGTCACAGCGATCACGGCAGGAACGTTCGCGAACCTCCCGGGGCTGGAAATGGTCATCCTGACGAACAACGCGGTGACGGCGGTCGCGGCGGGGGCGTTCGACGGGAGCGAGAGGCTGAGCAGGATCCTGCTGAACGGAAACCAGATGTCGATGGTCGGCGCCGGCGTGTTCTCCACGCTCCCTGCACTCAGCGCCCTCTTCCTGCAGACGAACGCGATCACGACCCTGCAGCGCGGCGCATTCTCCGCCAACAACATCGCGCTCGAGACGATCGTGCTCTCCTATAACTTCGTCGAGCGTGTTCCGGCCGGGGTGTTCGACGAACTCCCCGCGCTCGCGCTGCTCATGATCAACCACAACGAACTTCGGGAGATCGACCCGGCGGCTTTTTCCGTCGCGAACGTCGCGCTCGTGACCCTCTACCTCCACGCGAACAAGATCAGGTACGTTGCCGAGGCGACGTTTGCGCCGCTGCCTTCGCTCGCCACGCTATTTCTGCACCAGAACTTCGTCGCCGATGTGGCGCCGGGGGCGTTCTCGCAAGCGAACGCGCGCCTCGCGGACGTATCGCTGTCGTTCAACCGTCTCACGCGCGTCGAGGCGGCGACCTTCGCCGACCTTCCCGCGCTGCGCTCGCTCAAACTCGGCAACAACCTGATAGAGGGCGTTGCCGCGGGAGCGTTCTCCGCCGCTAAAGACTCGCTCGTCGAGTTAGAGCTGAACATGAATCGTCTCGAGGAGCTGGAGGTCGGCGTGGTGTCAATGGTCGCGACCCTGCGCCGGCTCCACCTACAGGACAACAAGCTGACTACGCTGGCGGCGGAGGCCGTGCCGGCTGGAATCAGCATCAACCTGAAGGGTGGGTGATGCTGCGGTAACCATGACGACGGGGACGCGGTGGCTCGTCATGTAGTCATCATGTTACGCTGTTAATTAATAATTATGGCATTACATTTTTTACATTATTAATTATTAATTACGTTATTTAATTAGGTTATTAGTTGTTTTTATTAATTTTTAGCTCATCTGACGTAGTCAGATGCAGCTTGTAGAATGCATGATTCGTTGCGTATCCGTCCGGCCGTCCCCGCCGGTCTGTGCGTGCTGGTCACAGTTGGGCACCAAATCTTAAACCGCTCGACGTTACGCGCGTCACGACATTGCGGACGTCGGGGGGGGCGGCGATCGTAAAATTGACTCGGATGACAAATTTGAGGGTGGTCAAGGGGTCAAATGGTATCAAGATGTGTAAACGGAGGGGCTGGAATATTTTTCCCTTAACTTAAGGTATAGGAGGAAATACGGAATTGCGGCACAAATCTTAACGGCTCGACCTATGCTCTTAATATTCGGTGTATAGTGTGATGGGCAGGAAACCCATCACCAGTGCGAAATTGGAGGTCACAGGTGAAAGGGCAGTAGGAGAAAGGTCAGATATCAGACATCTTCGGAGGACATGGCTGTTGTGTGTGGTTGTGTTCGTAATGAACTCCAATAAATCAAACACACAAATATACAAAAGAGCGTGAATTTATTCCAGCATGTCTACTCGCGTTCCTCGTCTATCTCCCCATCGTATGCTTTGTTTCATGACCGCTTTACTTCGTAACACACACGCGTAGTAATGTTGTCCCTATCATTACATCCCCCTTCTCTGAAATTGAGGGGTCTCGTATATAACATAATATATCAATTGGTTAACACAGTGAAACATTGCATACTGAGCATACACAAAGAAACATAACGTGTTTATCTTTAAAAATTCAAAAATCAATGCAATTGACTGTGTGGCCTGGTCATGTGTATTGGATACACTATCTGACACTGTTTTTTAAACTACAAAACACTATTCTATTCATACACTGTGGTATGCGATCTATGCTTTATAATTAACTTCAAAATGCTAAATAAGAAAATGCAAGGATCGTACTCACTTGCTAAATCCTTAAATTAGATATATCAAACTCCGGCAGTCTTGGTAACACTTTAGACTGCTGCAATCCAATTACTTATAACTATAATACATCGTTGGGCTAACTTGGCGCCTTTCCTTGGTCTAACCCACACTTACACCCAATTATACACTTTTGCGTCATGAACATAACATATGCAAGCACTGACTTGTGCTTACAATAAATCATGAAAACCGCAAACCTTGTCTCATACACTGATTTCACCTATGTTTGTGTGGACATGGTGTGTGTGTGTTGTGTGTTCACATCTGCTCTTGATATCTGATTGGCTTACGGATTGTACGGCCAAACCTGGTGGTGATTTGATCTGAGTATGTGTTCGTGTCTCGATCACTGTAATTGTTGTGATCGCTTTCCACCTTGGATGTGTCTGTGCAGAGATTGCTACTGGGGCTGTTGTGTACAGATGATGTGACATCATCAGCAAAGTGTACACTTCTGGCAGCTGTCTGTGTGCTACTGGGTGTATTGCAGGTGGGAATCTCCCTCAGATATGACCTATTTCTTCTTAGTATACTGCCGTTGGGTGTGGAAACTCCGTATGCCATTGGCTCGTCACACACCTGTGTAACCTGAGCCGGCATCCATGTGTGATCATTCGGGTTCAGAGTTCTGACCTTCTGGCCGACTGACAGTTGTTGTAATTCTTGTCCAGCATGTTTGTAATAATCTGTCTTCATCTTCTCCCGTCATTGTTGTAGTTGATCATGTGCATTGCTCATCTGGTGTCTGCTGTGACGACCTGGGAGCGTCGTCTTTACCCGTCGTCCAAAAAGCATTTTGGCAGGGGAGGGTAAGTCGGACTGAGGAGTCGCTCGAAGGTGCAGAAGTGCTTTCTGGACATCTTCTAGCCGTATAATCATATTTTGTGCTTTGTGCTTTGTGATTATTATTGCTAGGTACTCGGGTGCATGGTTCCCACAAAGGGGTCAGTTAGATAACCAGCAATGAAGATTTACTTATATTTTAGGTCAAAAATATAAATTTCCAGGACATTAGACAAAATAAGGACAAATTGGGCCCATTTCCAAGGACTTTCAATAACAAAAGGAAAAATTAAGGACTTTCAAGGACAAAGGACAAAATTCAAGGACTTTTAAGGGCTGTGTGGGGACCCTAGCTGTTATTGTGTGATTTATTGTGCTGTTGAAGCTCGATTGTAATACAGGTGAGACAAATGAAACATGAAAGGCTCGTGTTTTGTGTTCACTCTATTGTAATTGCGATTGAACAATCACGTACACAAGTCAAATAACTAGAAAGATTGCATTGATTATAAATCACGATCAAACTCTAATAACATTGTTATCTACAACATTAAAAGAAACATCAATAGAACATTACACGCCTATAGTCGACCAACCTGCACATTCTTTCCAAAACGCGACCTTGTAGCCAAATTTTTTTTTTCTGTAACACGAAAGTCTCTACGCGCAAACTGCACATATATAAAGATTTGAATTCCATGTTGTCATGATTTATAATAGAAAACTGCAGTTTGAGTTGGTACATATCATATATCACACTACACAATAAATCATAACTTACACACATCGTATGACATTAGGGAAAGAGAGAATTATTACTCCGTAATCGTTACTAATCGGGTCGTGAAGAGGAATCCGGTGATCATAATTAAACCATGTGACAATAAAATCTCGTAAGGCTAATCTGGTTGGAAGAAAATCAACACTATCTTTATTTGTTACTACTCTCTATTGCTTGCGCTTTGTTCATAACATTTGTTCTCGAATGGCTTTGATCGCAACTTAACCAGCACTGAGTGAAAAACCTATGAATAAGAGTCCATTATATATCTACACATTTATAAAAATCGACCATTAATAATCACCACGCACACGTGTATATTTGTACACAGTAATAGTAAAACTAAAACGCGGTTACCACTAATACTCTATGGTAAGTGAGCGGGCCGCAATCATGTATATAAGACAGCAGCTACCAAGTTCTGCTGAGCTGTCATCCGTTGCAGCGTTGTTTTCGATCGGTCCGTTGGCAGCCATGACACGATAGATCTGCAGTAAGGCGAGGGTTCACGAACCCCAGAACGTAAACTATACATCTTGTACTGTTTGAAGACTATTTGTGCTGCATTGGACGACAACAGCATGAACGCGCTGCGCTGACCAGAGACGAATTCCAAGGTGACTTAGAAGAAGAAGAACGAGTTGCGTCTCTTGGATTTCCTATTCTTCTTGTTCTTCCTGGTCTTCCTGGTGCGTGTTTTTGGTACGTTGCTCTCGTTACTAGTATCGTCATCATCATCATCATCATCGTAGGTGTATTCCTCTGGGAACATCTAAGTAAGAAACAAGACATGTATATTTTTAACATGAGCCACACGCAGAGTGACTGGGCTCATCTGAGGTCTGTTGCTAAGGTTATAAACATAACATTTCAGTCGCAGATATGCAGATACGCAGTTGCGTACACATCATTTCAGCAAACGTTTTTTTTATTGCAGAGAGAGTGGAAGAGAAAGAGAGGGGGAAGAGAGAGAGAGAGAAAGAGAGGGGGAAGAGAGAGAGAGAGAAAGAGAGAGAGAGAGAGAGAGAGAGAGAGAGAGAGAGAGAGCAGGTGAAAGGAGAGAGGAGAGAGAGTCAGTCAGACTAAATTGTTTATAAACAAATAACACCCACGCGGCACCACCTGGTACACCCGGTCCCACCTCTCGGCTTAGTTACTCGATGGGGGGACTCCCCCATCGAGTAATCGAGGTGGGAGCGAGTACCAGTCTACGTTTAGCCCATGCTGCGACACCCAAAAAATTTGCTGCTATGATACTATCAGCCATGCTATCGAGTACGACACAGGGGAGAGATTGAACTCAGCAATGGCGGCCAGAATCGTCGCTCAATGACGTAACGTCCGTACGGACTCAAACTCTAGTTGGTCATCTTCCTGGTGGAATGTTTAGCCCAACGACAAGTGTATAGTCCAACGATAGCTTAATTATAACAGGGAAAGCCACACAATTCTAATACATATTATCAAGAGTACATAATAGAGATGTACTCTATTATGTACTCTTGATATTATCAGGGATGAATAATGACAGACAAATTATCATATTTTATCACAATTTAATGTCATAACGTCACAATGTCATGATTTGTCATAATTTATCAGAATTACAATAATTTGTCGATATTCACCCCTGATATTATTATCTTATGACATATCATGGCAACATGTTAATGTTAGATTGTATTACATATATGCTGTGCTATTAACTTACCATGACAAACGACAGTGGCTTTGGCATCTCGCACGGCCGACAGCGGGCGACTGCAGCGCCATCTTCGTTCTCCGCGCACACGCAGACTTGGCAGGGGGACGGCGAGGCGGTCTTCGCGATACGACGACTGAAGACGTTGATGAATTTCTTCTGCAGTGCGCTGTTAGTGAACCTGCAGTGGAAGTAATCACCGGCGTTATTAGATTTCCTTAGTGAACATATCTGTGGTTGGAACAGCAACAAGAATTTTCCTCTGCAGTTTAAGGTGAAGGGGGAGTGGTGAACTTGAATGTATGTTTGTAACTCCAAGATTTCTCGTAGTACACCTTGTCTGTTGCGTTCCTCTGCAGTTTAAGGTGAACGGTGAGTGGTGGACGTGGATTGACTACCCTCGCTTCCACGAGCTCATCCAACGCTACGTCGACAGCGGCGGCGGCGAGCGCTTCACCTCCCTCGATTACATGGCGAAGATGCCGCACTGGGCCGTCTACGGAGCCAGCGAACAAGGCTTCGACCCGGCCGAGACGCGCTGGCGTCGAAAGAACAGATCCAAGGACATATCCGGGTGCTGATCGCTAATCGATCCCGCTTCTGTACATATTGAACGCACGCGTAGAGGTGCCGGAAATCTTAACGGGTATCTTCAAGTCGATACTAGCCTCCAAAAGTGTTAACGGGTTTCTTCGTGTCGATGATGGTTCAGGATGATGCCAGGCACAAAATGTGACTTTACGGCGGCGGCCTATATTACATGCGCACGCGTGCGTGCGACTGTACCCGCGTGTGCGCGTCCGTTAGTGTGTGTGTATGTGTGTAGTTGTGACTGTAAAAACGCGTTATATAGCCGTATAATCATATTTTGTGCTTTGGGGGTGAAAAAGTTGAGTCTGAAAACCGGCCATTTGCCTGGCTAGCTTTTCACCGTGCAACTGATGCCGTAGGCGACACTATCCGCGAGAGGGGGATGGAAATACCGAGGGGAAGGGAGTGAGAGGGGAGGAGGAAGGAAAGAGGAAAGAAAGGGGAGAGGGGAGGATGAAGGAAAGAGGAGAGAAAGGGGAGAGGGACGGAGGAAGGAAAGAATGCAGACGGAGATGTGCACACGTATGCGCAGTACACACGCGCAGACAAATGCACGTATGGCACAAACAGCACACACACACGCACGGATGCACATCTTCCTTCCAATATAGGTACTTCTCTCGCCTTCCCTCTCACTCTCTCTCTCGCAATATTTCTCTTCACGCACGCACGCACGCACGCACACACACACACACACACACACACTGTATATCTCTCTCTCTCTCTGATGCTCTCTTTCTCGGGCGCTATATAATAATATAGACACGTGTATATACATATATATATACTCGCCTTATTCCATTTCTTTCCCTTGCTCACTTTTTTACTCCATTCTCGCGGATAGTATCGTTCACGGCATCAGTCGCACGGTGAAATATATATATACATATTTATCTTTCTCCCCCGTCCCTCTTCTCCTCTCTGTCCGCCGTCTCTCGCTCTTCCTCACTTCCTTACTCCCCTCTCGCGGATAGTATCGCCCACGACCAGTCAAGCATGGAAAAACTTTCAACAGCAAATGACCGTATTTCAGCCGAAACTTTTTCACTCACCGAGGCACAAAATGTGAATTGACGGCTATAATACACGCGCACGCGTGTGCGCGTCCGTTAATGTGTGTGTATGTGTTTGTGCAACTGTAAAAACGCGTATTACAGCCGTATAATCATATTTTGTGCTTTGTGCTTTGTGATTATTATTGCTAGGTACTCAGGTGCATGGTTCCCACAAAGGGGTCAGTTAGATAACCAGCAATGAAGATTTACTTATATTTTAGGTCAAAAATATAAATTTCCACGACATTAGACAAAATAAGGACAAATTGGGCCCATTTCCAAGGACTTTCAATAACAAAAGGAAAAATTAAGGACTTTCAAGGACAAAGGACAAAATTCAAGGACTTTTAAGGGCTGTGTGGGGACCCTAGCTGTTATTGTGTGATTTATTGTGCTGTTGAAGCTCGATTGTAATACAGGTGAGACAAATGAAACATGAAAGGCTCGTGTTTTGTGTTCACTCTATTGTAATTGCGATTGAACAATCACGTACACAAGTCAAATAACTAGAAAGATTGCATTGATTATAAATCACGATCAAACTCTAATAACATTGTTATCTACAACATTAAAAGAAACATCAATAGAACATTACACGCCTATAGTCGACCAACCTGCACATTCTTTCCAAAACGCGACCTTGTAGCCAAATTTTTTTTTTCTGTAACACGAAAGTCTCTACGCGCAAACTGCACATATATAAAGATTTGAATTCCATGTTGTCATGATTTATAATAGAAAACTGCAGTTTGAGTTGGTACATATCATATATCACACTACACAATAAATCATAACTTACACACATCGTATGACATTAGGGAAAGAGAGAATTATTACTCCGTAATCGTTACTAATCGGGTCGTGAAGAGGAATCCGGTGATCATAATTAAACCATGTGACAATAAAATCTCGTAAGGCTAATCTGGTTGGAAGAAAATCAACACTATCTTTATTTGTTACTACTCTCTATTGCTTGCGCTTTGTTCATAACATTTGTTCTCGAATGGCTTTGATCGCAACTTAACCAGCACTGAGTGAAAAACCTATGAATAAGAGTCCATTATATATCTACACATTTATAAAAATCGACCATTAATAATCACCACGCACACGTGTATATTTGTACACAGTAATAGTAAAACTAAAACGCGGTTACCACTAATACTCTATGGTAAGTGAGCGGGCCGCAATCATGTATATAAGACAGCAGCTACCAAGTTCTGCTGAGCTGTCATCCGTTGCAGTGTTGTTTTCGATCGGTCCGTTGGCAGCCATGACACGATAGATCTGCAGTAAGGCGAGGGTTCACGAACCCCAGAACGTAAACTATACATCTTGTACTGTTTGAAGACTATTTGTGCTGCATTGGACGACAACAGCATGAACGCGCTGCGCTGACCAGAGACGAATTCCAAGGTGACTTAGAAGAAGAAGAACGAGTTGCGTCTCTTGGATTTCCTATTCTTCTTGTTCTTCCTGGTCTTCCTGGTGCGTGTTTTTGGTACGTTGCTCTCGTTACTAGTATCGTCATCATCATCATCGTAGGTGTATTCCTCTGGGAACATCTAAGTAAGAAACAAGACATGTATATTTTTACATGCAGCCACACGCCCAGCAGTGTACTGGGCTGCATCCTTTTTTGGAAGGGTCTGTTGGCTCAAAGGTTGCATAAACATAACATTTCAGTCGCAGATATGCAGATTACGCAGTATGGCGCTTACACATCATTTCAGCAAACGTTTTTTATTTCATGCAGTACGAGGAGTGGACCAAAAAACGCACACAACCACCATAAAAGAAAACGGCAGAAAGAGCTATTCTGAGTGGGGGGTGGGGGAAGAGAGAGAGCAGAGCAAAGAGAGGGGCCGAAGAGAGAGAGAGACTGAAGAGAGAGAGAAGAGAGAGAGAGAGAGAGAGCAGAGAGCAGCTGAAAGGATCGAGAGGCAGAGGAGAGTCAGCTCAGACTAAATTCTTTATAAACACAATAACAGCCACGCGGCACCACCTGTACACCCGGTCCCACCTCTCGGTCTTAGTTACTCGAATGATGGCCCGGACTCCCCATTCGAGTAATCGAGGTGGCGAGCGAGTACCAGTTCTACGTTTAGCCCATGCTGCGACACCAAAAATTTGTGCTATGATACAATCAGCCCATCGCCCTTCGAGTACGACACGCGGGGAGCAGATTGAACTCGCAATGGCGCGCCAGAATCGTTCGCGCGCTCAATGACGTAACGTCCAGTACGGACTCAACTCTAGTTGGTCATCCTTCTGGTGGAATGTTTAGCCCCAAACGACAAGTGATATGTCCAACATAGCTTAATTATAACAGCGAAAACCACACAATTCTTAATACATATATCAAGAGACATATAGAGATTAACTCTATTATGACTCCTTGAATATTATCAGGGATGAATTAATGACAGACAAATTATCATATTTTATCACAATTTAATGTCATAACGTCAACAATGTCCAATGATTTGTCATAATCTTATCAGAATTACAATAATGTGTCGAATATTCACCCCTGCATATTATTATCTCTGACATCATCAATGGCAACATTTATATGTTATGATTCGTATTAGCATAATGCTTTGGCTATTAAACTTACCATGACAAACGACAGCTGGCTTTGCATTTCGCACGCGCGATCAGCGGCCGACTGCAGCGCCATCTTCGTTCTCGCGCACACCACTTGCGCAGATTTAGCCTATTGGACGCGAGGCGGTCCTTGCCGATACGACGACTGAAGCGCGTTTGATTGAATTTCTCTGCAGCTGCGTGTTACTGAACCTGCCAGTCGCGCAAGTAATCACGGGTTATTAGATTTCCTTAGTGAACATATCTGTGGTTGGAACAGCAACAAGAATTATTAGATTTCCTTAGTGAACATATCTGTGGTTGGAACAGCAACAAGAATGATTAGATTTCCTTAGTGAACATATCTGTGGTTGGAACAGCAACAAGAATGATTAGATTTCCTTAGTGAACATATCTGTGGTTGGAACTGCAACCTATATAAACTCAATAAAATATATAAAATTTAAAGCATAAATATTCAATTTATAAAATCAATAACACAAGTCCGGCACGAAGAGTTCCGCGACGTCTCAGCGTCGTCGCCGCGGCAACGCTGCTACCCACCTGTTCAGTGAGAACATGCTGCCGTTGGTCTCGTGCGCGAGGGCCACGCAGATGTCCTTGGGCATGACGACCTGCCGGTAGAGAGATTCCTCACACTCCAGCTCCACATCTCTCACATCCTTCAGCGTGCACACGGACTTGCCATCGATACCTGTGGCAATAATATTTTTATATGATCTATTAATTATATGTTTTAAATTATATATGGTTATTTCCGGGTGGCGGAATCGAACAATTTTTAACTATCAGAGAACCGGGAAACAGAAGATAATTTTTTTCTTAAATTACAATCTTCCAGATTTAAAAGAACTGGGAATTGTGATTTTATGTGCGAACTAGGAAACAAGCATTAAATCATTAAATTAAATTTATTAATCTAATAAAATGGCATGTTTTTCATTTGGGACACTAGGAGTGCCTGTGTGTGTGTAATTGTGTCGGCTGTACAAAATAAATTCATGTAACTTCAGGGGTGATAATGTTCCGAAGAGTTTGCGTTCATAACTTGTATATTTCAGATTAGCGTTAAACTTATCCTGAAGAGGGCGCGAGAGAGAGCGGAAATGCTTCATAGTCACTGGGATTTTCGTTAGTGCATACGTGACAGCGAGCGTTGGCAGTGCATACGTGTCAGCGAGCGTTGGCAGTGCATTACGGTGTCAGCGGGCGTTGGCAGTGTTTTTCGAGTCGTGTATCGAAGTACAACCGTCGACAGAGTTTATCGAATAAATAGTTATACAGTACTTTACTACACACTATGCCGTCTTCTTATCGTATCGTTCTGTCGTGCAATTCACTCCAACAAGTGGTCCTTCGAGCCGGAGATCCGTACAAAGTAAATTCAAGTAAACACATGTAAATTCATAAAGTCGTTAGGAACGCGACGTACCGAGCAGTTGCCTGTTCTTGCTGCTCCGCTTCGCTCCCTTGAAGCGCAGGTTGTAGTCAGACATTATGTGAAGCTTAAAGCCATTCTCCAACAGCTGTCGCTGCAGTTTCGTGTAATCCATCTAGCGAGTAGAGTAGGAAAACACTCGTGTAACACACTCAACACATACTGTATTCTACCTGCAACCCTGGTACTAACTCGACATCATATATGCAATGCTGACCGCACCACTTACGTTCATGTACACGATTCGTAACCACTCACAAAACGATGCAATTTAACCCGTAAAGACACTACCTCCCCCCCCTAAAAAAAACGTCTAAAGAATGCGCGTTCATGACGCAGTACACGCGACAGACGTTTTTCTTTTGACGTTTTTGGGGCGGTTTTTTCACAGGGGGTGCAACTGAAAATTGCGCGACCGCGACCCGATCGATCACACAGGGGGCGCCACACTCACGGTCATGTACTCGGACTCGCAGCCGCTGCACGTGATCAGCACGATGGTCTTGGACACGCCGCTGCGGAACGGCAGCTCCGTAGCGAACTCGACCGCTCGCATCGTGTCGTTGGTTCCCTCGCTGCCGTCGATGACGAGGCGGTCGAAGGCGAGCGATAGCGGCTCGGTGGTGAACACGCGGCTCTTGGACGTGTGAACGTGTGGTGCGTCGTGCACGCCGTAGCCGCCGTAGCCTGCGCGCAGAGAGAGATAGCGGGGGTGTGAGAGATAGCAGGTCCGTGTGCAGCGCGCATGCTTGTATGTACAGCCACACACAGACACACACACACACACACACACACACACACACGGAAAAAGACATATACACAAGCACGCATGCATGCACACAGAGAGAGAGACACAGACACAGATACAGACACACACATGCACACACACACACACACATACATATATATATGTGTGTCTTTGAATTACATTGCAATCATTTTCAGTGCATAACATTTGTGATCTTTACCTGATGGTCAAAATTCTAGTTCATCTAAAACAATTTACATGATATAATTAAATTTCTATTTTATATAACTGCCACACACACACACACACACACATATATATCATACATCAGCCTGCAGGACCTGATATGGTGACGTTTATCCAAAAATCAATGATCAATATCACGTAATTCTAATTATGAGTCACTCACCGACGAGAGCGTATCGGTTAGAAGTGAGTCCATTCTCCTGCAGTGAAGTATCCAGATCCTTTGCGAGATCAACCAAACTCCTCACTGCGATCCTAGAGCGAAAGCAAAATGGCCACAATTAACACCATTCACTACTTAATAATAACTTATGAATATTATCACTACTTAATGAATTAATATTCATGAAACCGACCCTCCACAGACTTTATTCATCAAAACCTTATTAACCATATTTATCATGAAAACCTTTCAAGTTTGATGCCAAAATTACAAGTGAGACTACACTATAATTAAATAAGTATAAATAAATATAACTATAAAACTATAAGTAAATATATAAATATAACTATATAGTGCTCTTTCCATTCGACGCATTTCTTTGTTTACTTTCTTTGTTTACTCACTTATTGCACTGCTTCTCTTCGACGATGAAGACGACATCTGCGTACTGCTGAATGTCAATGTCTTGCGTCGAGTCCTCGCCTATTTCATACACGTCATTCTTGAAGTGCCTCGTCCTGTCTGTCTCGCAGATGACTGAAATCCACCCGCCAACGATTCACCATCATTAATTATTATTATTATTATTATTAAATCTTTATTGCACATAATTCAGATACAAATACACGTACTGAAGATTAATTTTCACGGAGAAAAAAATCTCATGAAAAAAAAGCTCACTTGCCACTCTCAGTAAGCTAGTTATTACGCTGAGCAACGCATAAATCGGATCTGACACCGAATCGAATTCAATAAGATAAGAAGTAATTCACCGCCATCTTGAATTGATTTTCCCTCCGACAGAGCTCGGAGACTCTGTGACAGACAGACGACAGAGCAACAGAGCATTTCTCCTCAATGCCGCGCATCTCAACAACGCATAAACCAGATGTGACACTTAATCAAATTTAACAAGATATGAAGAAGCAATAATTAATCTCCACCGCCATCTTGAATTCATTTTCCCGCTGATAGAGCGGCGACTCGACGCCGCGCGTCTTACCGCACAGTCAGCAAGTGATTACGCGTAAATCAGACCTGACACCGAATTCAATTTAACAAGATACGAAGCAATCTCCACCGCCATCTTCATGGCGCGCGTCTCACCGCATGTTGTTGGCATCGACAGCCGCACCCCGCGATCCCGGCATTCGTCGACGTAGGCCTTGGCGGCAGTGCAGGATGGCGGCGGGGCGCTTGGGGCGTGGTCCGAGTGTCGAGCGTCGTTGTAGCACATGCGGAAGAATGGCTCCGGGTCGACCTGCAAACGAAGCTGTTCTTAGTTGTCGTATTCGTTAATCAGGAAGCTGTCATTAATTGTCGTTATTCGTTAATCGGGAAGCTGTCGTTAATTGTTGTTATTCGTTAATCGGGAAGCTGTCATTAATTGTCGTTATTCGTTAATCGGGAAGCTGTTGTTAATTGTCGCACGTAGTGATCGCAAGGTAGTGAGAGTTGGCGCAGCGTTAATGGCGACCGGCCATATCACGCCGCCACGCGCGGAGGGTTGCGAGCCATCGTGAGCAGACTGGCGAGGGACGGATGGTGTCTTTCCATTCCAATTAACCTTATTTAATTAATTAAGCTATCTCACGGAATCAGGTCATACACCACGCTATCAGTGTGTAGATATTCAGTCTATGAGAAAAAGTTAATGTTGAGAGTAATGTTAAGACTAATTTTGTTTCTGAAAACGGCGCCCACTGGTCGCACCTGTCCGAAGCAGCGTCTGAAGTTGGATTGCTTGTCCTGGAATATTGCGCTGCAGAAAGTGTCAGCGTCCGATGCCTCGACCTCGTAGCTGTAGGCGCGGTCCATACCGTTCTTGCACGGCCCGTAGTTCCACGAAGAGGCAAAGCTCATGACCTCGTCGTAGTCCTTGATGTTGTGTCGAAGGTCGGTGAACTCATCATATGCTTCGTTGTTGTAAGTGCCTGCAAATGAAATATACACATATATGCATATAAGGAACATTAAATGTGGACTAAATAAAATAATATTAGTCAATTATACCTTTCCTTTTGTTTGAAATCTTTGTACTGTGACATGGCATGAGTTATTTTTACCGCCATATCCTTTATTCCACTCACTATTGTATATATACGTGAAAAACATTTAAACGAAGACATTTACAAATTCAATTGCACATTAAAAACGCAAAAGGTCAAGCACTGTAGGAATCATTATCAGATGTCTACGTGCACTTCTCCCTTTTAATATCATGATATATGTACATATCTTATGTTTATATACATAATCTGAAGTGATCACAGCGTCATCTTTCCATGATATGGTGCAGTAGTAATTCTTCGTCGAACCAAATTAAAACCCGTCGGATTCTCACCTAAAAGACCGGCCATCTTGCCAAAGTACCAGCCACTGACGTTGACGCGGCACACGTCTCTCAGCCAATCACAGGTGACGGTGACTCCGTGGAGGTTGTGTACGATGACGTTGTCGCCGCGTCGCACGATCGTCGTGTTGTCGAACTGTATGGGTAGGTCGACTGTATTCTGTCCAAGCATCACCTGCAACGAAGGCGCGCCTAGTTAGCTAACGTGCGATGGGATGGATGGACGGTCGGACGGATGGACGGACGGACGGACGGACGGGTGGTGGCTGGATGGACGGATGGCTGGATGGACGGATGGCTGGATGTACGGACGAATGGACAGGCAGACGAGCGCGCGAACAACAGAACGACGGCCAGAGATCACGGAACGTCGCTCTCACCTGAAACGCGGGCGCGAGTTCAATCTTCATGCCATTCGAGATGACGGTGATCGTGCGTGTGATGGCGTCGTTGTCGCCACGAATGTAGTTGACGATGATGGAGAAGGTTCCGTCGACAAAGTCGTGGGCGAGCACGTAGCTGCAGCCTCCGCTCGCAAAGTCGTACGCGTGCGAGTCGAAGGTGAAGAAGTGCTGGGAGCCGGCCATCATCGCGCTGCCTGCAAGCGTGTGAGACGCACGATCGCGCGCAAAATATCAGATATGCACTTATATAAATATATACATACACACTCATATACATATAATTATATACATATCAGTATAGTATATAAGTAGTATAACCTCAAAGCGTTCTAAAAAAGATAGCTCAGCAAAGAGCTCAAGAACATGTACATGTTTGTTTTTATTTATGCCAGAATTTGAGTGGGAAAAGTGGGAAATCGGTAAAAACGAAGGAAAATACGTGTCAAACCTTTTTGAGATTATTTACTCCTGATATATAATATATATATATATATTATATAATACTCATGTTCACAGCATAACGTTCTACTCTTTGTTGTAACTAATTTAGAATGTTGTTCAATTAATATGAAGAATTATAGGTCTGCAGATTCATGTAACGCCATCCACGTACAGAAATCTCTTGCCAAATGCAGCAAGTATTAGTGAAGGTATGCGTGCAAGCCACCAGGGTAAACTACGCGGCATCACACAATGATGGGTACCTTCGAATGGAGGAATGAAGTCGTAGGAAGGTGGTGCGTAGGCGTAGTACTGGTTCCACATGCCATGCTGAATGTCACTCAGCCTCAGGTCACGCACGTACTTGATCGCACGCGATAGCGATTGCTCGTCCCCGTATTGCGCATCTGAAATTCAGAAACAGCAAAAAAAAAATGTTAAAGCAATCTCCGCCCATCTAGCTATCTATCCAACTACCTATCTGTCTTCTGTTTACACGTTTGTCCATCCGTACTTTCATCGATCCATCTGTACAAGCAGAGTGTCTACATTATATAAGTATGCATAATAATATATATGTATCGTAATACAGTAATACCAGGAGTCTATCAATAGACTATCAGGAGTCTATCAGAATGTTTGTATGCATCTATGCACGTACGTACATATCATACGTAAAGCGCTAGCAACAGCTATAAGCTGAGGAGCAAGTAGCAAACACAGACAGACAGACAGACAGACAGACAGACAGACAGACAGACAGACAGACAGACAGACAGGCTGCGCAAGCCTCAAGCCTCGACACTCACCGTATGGCAGCTCATAGAAGCTGTGCCAGTCCTGCTGCAGGTACAGGTCTGCCATGAACTCGTTGGGGGGAGTCGGCGTGACGACGATGCGCACTGTGTTCCTGTAGTCTTTGACGAGGGCGATCAGACGAGCAAGCGCGCGCGAGCCAAGCTTGTCCACCTCAGCGTACCTGTACATCCACTGACCCTGCACGCAACGGATACATAGTAACAGTCATTACATAGTACATAATTACACAGTACATAACATCAGGCGTGAATAATAATAGATCTATATTATAATAAGAGAAAGCATATAGTATAAAGTATAATAAGAGAAAGTGTATACAGGGGAGATTCTCTCTGTAGAGACGAAGAGCGCTCTACTGTGACCGCTGGGATATCTAAGCACAAAGATGACGCCCACGAGCTCAAAGATGGCACCCACCTTGCCGTATGCCTTCTGGGCGACGTCCCTCACATACTGCGCGTCCTCGTTCTTCATCATGGCGTCGTAAGTGCGCTGCGCCTGGTCCTTCGCTCGGTACTTGTAGTCGTTGTAGGTGTCCTGCATTCCGTTGTAAACGTCGTTCACACGATACTGCAAATAGATGGCATTGACTCTTAACCTTTTGACCTTGAACCTTTCTCTCGAGCTAGAGATGACAAGCAATGTCTTGTATGATTAGAGACTGTTAAGTATTGACTGTTGAATCTGCTGGAAGCTGTTCTATTGTTTGGACTGCTGAACTGAAGACAACACAAGTTGGTAACATGAACTGAGGTCTTGGTTGTAGCGTGTCATTTATAGCTGCGCGTAGATACCCCAAAAACGTAATTACAGACTGATAGATGTCTACGCTAGAAGCATCACATTCCACACATGTGCCAATTTACCTGCAAGATCAGAGACTACATCAAACTTCGACATGCGTGATAACAACCCACACGAACACCCCAGCGTAGCTACTCCCAGTGAACGTACTACTCCGTGTGAACGTGCGCTGCGAGCGTACTTCCGTACCTGCATTCCGTTGTACGTATTCTTCACGTCGTCCCAGCGTCTCGTGACGACGCCCGTGTCAAGGTCGTCGTACATGGTGGACATCTTGCCAAGATGGCCCTGCGCCGCCTGGACATACTCGTGTTCCGCGGCGGCGTCCCACGAATTCATGAGCTGCTCTCTCATTGCTGCAGCGATCCGCGCAAAACACATTGTGAGATATCGTCCAACGCGCTAGTAATTTTAACGAAGTGGCTCTAATGTTCACATAGGGCCTACGGATGTGGCCATGGAAATGCCTGCTAGAAATGCGCTTCGCTCTCTGTGCTTACCTTCTTTACATCTCAGCCTTATTTGTGCATTTGCCCATTTGATGAATAATTGTGCAGCTTATTCACGATTTACCACAATTTAAATAAATTTTCTTGCAATGTAATTGTTTTCGAGAAAACATTTTTATCTTTAAAATTGGCGAGAAATCGACAACGACAATGGCGCTCACCGCTCACTTTATCCGTGCCGGCAGCCGTATTTGTTTGCCTGTGTCGTTCCATGGTTTCGTAGATGCTCATGATCTTCTGCTTGATGCGTTGCAGACAACTGCGCACGCACTCCTGAATCTCACGCACCTGTCACACGCACAGAATTCGCACGTTTAGTTATCGGAAATGCTAAACAATCGGTCGTAGATATATGGAATTAGTCGTTTTTATTTATCAGCAAAATGGCTAAAACAATCGGTGTGATATATTGGAATTCGCTCGTTTATTTATCGGAAATGCTAAACAATCGCGGTGGTTAGATATTATGGAATTCGCTCGTTTATTTTATCGGAAAATTGCCTAAACAAGTCGGTTGGTAGATATATGGAATTCTGCTCGTTTATTATATCGGAAATGCCCTAAACAATCGGGTGCGTAGATATATGAATTCGCTCGTTTAGTTATCGGAAATGCTAAACAATCGGTGGTAGATATATGGAATTCGCTCGTTTTAGTTATCGGAAATGCTAAACAATCGGTGGTAGATATATGGAATTCGCTCGTTTATTTATCGGAAATGCTAAACAATCGGTGGTAGATATATGGAATTCGCTCGTTTATTTATCGGAAATGCTAAGCAATTGGTAGATTATTCTCGAAGTTCCAGCCTAAATGTTCTCTTCTTACTTTGTCTCAGACAATCTTGTGAGTTGATCCATTTAGCATCCATAGAATCACTACGCCTTATTCATGATCACGGTTCATGCTCCGCGTGCATCATTTTACTCATTATAATAGTGCGGCCAGATCCGTGCACAATAAAGTTATAAAAACTGTGAATAAACCCACATTTAGTTTTTATTCGCTGCTGACATGACGGGCAGCAGCAGCATCTTACCGGTATGTAGTCGTACAGAGGTGCGATGCGCTCGGCTATGGCGGACAGGTATTCTTCGACCTTGTAGTAAAGCTCGTAGTAATAGCGATCGACTTCCTCCTTGTAAGGAGCGATCCAGTCAGTGGCCTCTGCCTTGTAGGTGTAGTATCGATCGTACCTAGATGTGAATCGAGCTCTTGTAAGTATAACAGCTGACGATCATGCCACATGCACATGCAGTCTCATTTAAATATATTTATATTACACATAGTTGATAATCTCTCTTGCTCTCTCTCTCTATATATTATGTATTTATATATATATATATAGAAAGAATATGACCCTGCCTACAAAAGACAATTTCGAAATTGTCCATTGGGCAACCCTCACATACAGGTTTGACTATACTAGCACTGCAGTGCTGCCACCTACCAGTCGTTAATCCTCTGTCTGGTTGCGTCGCGGAGGTCCTCCCGGGCGATGGCTGCTCTTTGTACAGCTGAGCTGTAGGCCTCAGACATCCGCTCCTGCTGCTGCCTCCTCTGGTCCTGCCACTCCCTATACGCCTCGCCTTCGTAAAACTCCCCGACCTTCTCGGAGGCTGACTGCACCATGCGCCTGCGTCAACATCGTTCACTTGTTTTACAGAGTGTGCACGCATTGTGTTACACCTCGCGAGTTTCGCGCATATAATTATTTAATATATAATATATATTGAGTTATATCCATATATTGAGTATATAATGAGTTGTATCCATTTAAAGTTGGTATCACTGGGTACGTGCGATGCGTGCACAATCATTACAGTGCCTTGGCAAACACATGAGACAATAAATTATTTCTTTTAAGAAACATGACGGATACAGTTTTTAGAGTTTTTTTTATGTAACTTGTTGACGTAATCCGCGTGTGTGGCTCATATTCTTGCACGCAATGCGTTACATGCCAGTGAACTATTCGTGCTACGTCGTTACTAGATCGTTTGAAGTGCCACCAGATGGCATCACAATGCAGGTAACTACAACGTTCAGCAGATGACCATAGCGACACATTGATTCTTTACAGCTCTCTCTATTATCTCCCCTTCTGTTCACTCTCTCTCTCTCCCCTTCTCTCTCTCTCTTTCAACCCCCTCTCGCTCGTGCTCTCTTTTTATTTTTCTCTCTCTCATTCTCTCTATATATATCTCCCCCCTCTCCCCCTCTCTCCTGCTCTGTAGTTACCTGCTCCAGTCCTGCAGCTGTTCGACGCGATCGAGTGGTGCAAACACGTCTAGTTTGTGCTCGCGCATGACCATGTCCACGTCCGATCCCATCTTTGCAACGATCCTGTTCGACTTGCGCTTTATTTGGTTGTACTGCAAGAATCAACACCGATTATTGACTATATAATCACTGATATATATATATATATACACACACAAATATATATTACGGTTTGATTGATATCGATTATATTCACTCACACACTCATCATCTCAAATACTGTCTCAGAATTTCCACAATCAATACCCAGCACGTGTGATTAAAGCTTGCCTTGTGAAATCAATTCACACATACACACACACGCACGCACGCAAACGCACGCACACACGCACATGCACACGCAGACACACAAACCTTGGATTTCAAGCTGTGTATTTCGCTTCGCATGAGGTGGTACCTCTCTGCCGCCTCCTGCTCCACATAATCGCCGACGACGCGCGTTACGATGTTAGCGTACGTCGGTCCGTTGCTGACGTAGTCCTGTGAAAACAACAACAACACACGTCATTAAGATTAACAACAACAACAACAACAACAACAACAGCAGCATAGTATGAAACAACAACATACGTCATTAAGATCAACAACAACAGCAACATCACAGTATGAAACAACAACATATGTCAATAAGATCAACACACACACACACGCACGCACGCACGCACGCACGCACGCACACACGCACGCACGCACGCACACACACACACACACGCACACACACGCACACACACACACGCACGCACGCACACACGCACGCACGCACGCACACACACACACACACGCACACACACAAGCACGCACGCACACACACGCGCGCCACAGTTTGCACGTACCGGGTATTCTATGTCGGGCTTGGCGTAGGCGTGCACGTGTAGGATGTATATGAGATGTTGAACATGGCTTCACCTCATCCTACCGCGCACGCACGCACGCACGCACGCACACACACACATTTTGCACGTACCGGGTATTCTATGTCGGGCTTCGTGTAGGTGTGCAGGTGTAGGATGTGAGAGGTGTTCAGCATGGCTTCGGCAAGTAGGTACGTCTCTGGGCCGTCGTGCCGAGCATTCAGGTCGACGATGTGCACCTTGAGAGCGGTCTCGTTGAGGTAGCCCGCCCATAGCTCACTGTACTCGTCAGGACGAGCTGAAACACACACACGAGAGAGTGAGTGAGAGAGTGAGTGAAGCAGCTATGCTAGATGACAAGTGAGAGAGTGAGTGAAGCAGCTATGCTAGATGACAAGCATAATCATCGTACATATATCGTGTCATAAATGCTGACAACAACCGTTTGCTACGTGTGCACGCGTAAGTACAGACATATCTGTACATCTGTACATCTCTACATCCTGCAATACTAAACTCTGCTCAACTCTAGCCCTGGTATTAACACACGCGTGCGTGCGAGAAAGCGCAGTTGTGCTTACTGGCATCCCATGTGACCTTGGCATTGGCGGAGAAAGGTCGCGTGGCCTGCACCTCCGCATCGACGGTGGCCGGCGGGCGGTCGTTCAGCTGGCTGGACAGCGCGGCGCTGTACCTGCTTCCGTCCATCGTGTAGCGAAGCGCCGCCTCGCCCTTCCACAGCAGCACCGGTGTTGCCACCTACGCGTCATCATCATCCCGAGAACAAGCGAGCACTGCGTCAACGCGCGTCTCTACGGAAACGGGCACCGGTCTACGAACGAAACTTTTGGGGTTTCCTCAGATTGGCAGTTACGCAGGGAAACCCATGTAGTGCATAATTATAGGGTGTGTTATAGAGGACACATCTATAGAACGGCCACCTCTATAGAACGGCCACCTCTATAGAACGGCCACCTGTCTGTAATGGACACTCACATTTCCTTAGTGACTCTCATACACAGGTTCGAATGTATCACTCAACCGTATACTCCTGATAATGAATAACAGCACGTGCGCTTGTGCTGACATCTATTAGGTGATTTTAAGACTATTGAGAGATTTTAAGGCTGTTGAGAGATGCACGTATATGAAAGTCTGAATGCATATAGGTCATCACCATCAACGTGCGTCCATGGAGGATGGGTGTGTGTGACTCTGCATAGATAAATGGAAGGGGGAAGTCGGGGCTGAAGAGGGGCAGGGGCAGGGAATACAGGGAAGGAAAGGGACAGCAGGGTGGGGAAGGTAGGGAGGGAGGGGGAGGGGCGGCGACCGCGCCACGTACCTCGACGGTCGTGCGTTCCATGGAGTGCTGGCCCTTCACGCTGATTCGCTGCAGTTCCCCATTTGCTTCCTGATACTCCGCGCAACCCTCAGCCTCTATGCGCTTACCGTCGCTGAACCTGAATCCGTAGAACCTGCAAACAAGGAGGAGAGAAGCGAGAGGTGAGTGACAGGACATGGTGATGGCGCAAGAGAGAACGAGAATTCGCGAGAAAGTGTACTGCTTGGTATGAAAGGTACACTGCTTGCCGTTCCTAACTCAGCACGAGGTTGGTCACTAGGTAAGTGACAATACAGTCATAGAAATATCGCGATGGGTGTCATATCGTCATGGCAACGCACAGCACAGATGCGTAGCGGGGGATCGATCAGACTCGATTCACTAGATTTATTCGGACACATACACACACACGCACACACACACGTGCACGCATGCACAATCACACACATGCGCGCGCACACACACACACACACGCCCACACGCACGCACGCACGCACGCACGCACGCACGCACGCACGCACGCACGCACGCACGCACGCACGTGCTCGCCACTCCTACCTGAGCGCGAGGTTTGTTGCCGGGTGAGTGACGGACCACGCCGCGCTGACGTTGCTGCTGCCGTAGCCGTCGTCGTCGTTACGCACGTGCAGCTGCACGGTGACATTGTCGTCTGCTCCCGGTGCGTAGGACAGTGACGTCACGCTGAGTAGGGGCACGGGAGAGCTCCAGGCACCCACGGTCATGTCATTAGACAGAACCACATCCTACGTGCGGAGACAACGACTGGGTTAGACTCGAGGCGATGGCATGAACGAATACAACCATAACCGCATAACAGAACAACTGACACGATGACTTATTTAGCATAGATTATCCCGTGCAACACAATAGAATGACATGAGCAGGCTCGAGGGGACAGAACAATTAAGTACTACCACATCCGAAATAGAACTGACATCAGCTTTTTAGCATAGATTTTTCCTGCTACTGCGCATGCAGGAACAGAAACACAAATCAGTAAAAACAACTTGGTTAGCAACACGGACCGGGCAGTATGAGTGCGAGGTAAGGTACTCGAACAAATGACAACCTAACCCTACCTCCACGAATAGTCAAGTTCGAACATGGCAATGCCAGCAACGACACCCTAACCCTACCTCCACGAATAGTCAAGTTTGAATATGGCAATGCCAGCAATTTCACATTAACTCTACAAACCCAGTCCCTCACTGCAACAGAGGGCAGCACTGGCTCATGGCAGAGAGAAGCGCTATGTGTGTAGAGCCATATAAGTGCAGATGACGAGCGTGGTTAGGGTTGGGGTTGGGGTTAGGGTAAGGGTAAAGGTTAGGGTTGGGGTTGTGGTTAGGATTAGGATTAGGGTCAGGGGTGGGGTTAGGGTTAGCATTAGGGTTAGGGTCAATGTTGGGGTTACAGTACGGTTAGGGTTAGCATTAGGGTTAGCATTGGGACGCACGGGGAGGGGGGGCACGTACCTCGTCCATGAAAGGATGCTGGAGGGTAATGATGGTGTGGTAGGCCTCCTCGCCCTCGCTCAACTTCTCTCTCTCGTGTCTCGCCATCAGCGAGGCCCGAGAGGGGGAGCCGGAAACGCGAGAAGAGGGCGTCGTCGATGTCACGATGTCGCGCTTCGCGTCCCAGTCGACCTCCAGTGCCCGCTCGAAGTGCCTGGATGAGTACTCGTCCCTCACTGTCACCTCGTACGCGCGCGACGGCAGCACCATCTGTGAATAGAGATCGCAATCAATCTTCGAGTGTTTTTTTTATTATTTCTGTTCGATGCTTATTCAGGCCCACTGTGCCTATGGACACCATCTACTGTTGTGTACAACACTTTCACAGACATTAAACACGCTCCAAACCAGAAAAAAAACAATATAACAATAGAACAGCGATCGGCTCGCTCACCCCGGCAGTAGTGATCATGGTCAGCGGGCTTCTCCCTTCCAGCGATGAGCGCACGACAAAGCCAAACTTCTTGCTGGGATGGTCGCCCCATCGGTAGAGCAGCTGGTGGTTCCAGTTGTCACGATCTTGGACCTCACTCTTAGCCTCCAGATTCAGCTGTAAAACAACACATATCCAGTGCTGCATTGCAAGCAAGCAATGCATAAATCTGATGCATGCACACCGGGATACAGGCAGGCCACACAAGTTGAAGTAGAAAAAAAATAGAAGGCATGCATGCGCAAAGACCAAATTCCAAAAATTTCAAAAATACCACCCTACGACTTACTAGCAGTACTATGTTCAAGGTACTACTAGCACTAGTGCTAAAGGTATTCTGAGTATAATATATGCTACAATCGTATATATAAGCATATGCTGCCCAGGTGTGAAAGTGAGACGACCATGGCATCGACAGAAAGAAAGCAGGCGGCTAACCTTGTGGTATGGGCATTTTGAGATGACAATGTATTCGTAGATCTGCTTTCCTCTGCTGTACTTGTAGTCGTAGCTGATCTCAGCTTCATACACCTTTTCTGCAGCCTTCTGCAGTTCCACTGCAATCACGGAAACACCTAGTTACACTGTGCAACAAAAATTACCTCACAGAACGTAGAGAAGCTACACACACTCAACATTCATCATCGATCCATCCTAACCATTATCCCAGGAAAAATATGGAATAATATAATATATATCATATAAAAATAAAATATATTAAATTATTTATTGATTTATTGTTTAAGAACTGCTGAATTAGCAGTCCTTTAGCTCACAGTCATGTTCAACGATTTGATGCCAACTTAAGAGTGTTTATGTATCGTTCACTAGTTTCATGATTTCTTGACGAATGAATGGGGATGAACACTCATCATGTGTATTTTCATTTAGGGTTGCGGTAATCGGTTGTACAAATAGGTTATAGAGATATAAAAAAAGTTCTTCGTTATAGTAAAGTCGCTAACACATACCCATTATAAAATCCGGAGTGAATAAAATCTCATGGGTCATGCTTCCCACGCAATTCATACGTGGGTGCCTCACATCCCTATCTATCCACAAGTATCCACTTTATGTGATATATGTGTGTTCCACCAACCTCCACTCTACCCATCAGTATCCACGCTATATGATATATA